AGGAGGGAGGAAGGTAGATTTGTTCCTCTCAATTCTATGTGTCACTTAATTACCATAGAAATCATATGTTTACTCCTGTACCAATCAGTAATTATAATACTTTGTGTGTATGGTATATTACACAAAAGATTTTTTTAAAAGGAAAATGTTTAGTGGTACTAATATGAATGTTAAAAGATTCAAAGTAACTCTAAATGATTTGGCAACAATTACAACCAATTATTAGCATTATGTTGCAATTGCATTCATTTATTCAAGCAGTGATTTATTCAGCACCCACTGCTATGCACCAAGGGTTCTAGGGATTTTGCAGTGTTCAAAGCAACAGAGTATCTGCTTTCATACCACATGCATTCCAGAGGAGAGAGACACAATTCCTAAATCAATAAACTGGTGTTTTTAAGTACTTTCAGAAAATAGCACAGAGAGGTAGGTTATTCTATCTAGAGAGGTCAGTGTAGTCTTAAAAGGTTGGATGAGCAGCAGAGACTTGAAAGAAGTGAGAGAGTCACATGAATACCTAAAAGAAAGGTATATCAAAAAGAAACAAAATGGGGCTGACGATGTAGCTCAGTTGGTAGAGGGCTTACCTAGCATATAGCAGGCCCTCAGTTTGATATAAAGTACCACAGAAAGCCAGCATATCAGTACAGGCCTGTAATCCCAGTACTTAGGGGAAGCAAGAGCATCAGAAGTTCAAGGTCGTCCTTGGCTACATGAAGAGTTTAAGGCCAGTTTGGAATGCATAATCCTATCTGAGGGAAGGAGGGAGGGAGGGAGGGGGGAGAGAGAGGAAGGGCAGGAAGAGAGAAATAAAAATACAAATAAAACATGTAAATATCCTGAAGTCGGTTTGGTGGGCACTCCTAGAGCAGTTTCAGGCTCTTGTGTCCCAGAACAAGGAATTGAATGCAGACACGTGACTAGTAGCAGATGCAGGGACAGTTTGTTACAGATAGCATGGTACACTTCTAGGCTGGGGTGACAGCTTAGTCAGTAAAGTGCCTGTGGTGTAAAAATGAAGACCTGAGTTTGGGCCCCATGTAAAAAAGTGGGGCATAGTGGTGCATGCTTGTGATCCCAGCGCTGGGGAGGTGGACACAGGCAGACCGCCAGGATCTTGCTGGCCAGCCAGCCTGCCTAATTGGTGAGTTTCAGGCTAAGTGAGAGACCCTGACTCAAAAAATAAGGTGGACAGTTTCTGAGGAAAGACACTGGATATTGACCTCTGGCCTGCACAAATATGCATCCATGCATGTGTGCCCACATACTGCACCTGCATACCCAAACACACACACACACACACAAACACATGCACATATATACCCATCCCAAAAGAAAAAAAGAGATAGCACACTTCCAAGGAGGAGGAAATGACCTGGAGCAGAGATTTCGGTAGTGCAGTTGGCTCCACTGTTCAAAGGGCTGGGGCTTTTTATGTTATATAATGTGGGCTTTGAGGGCAATTTGTATAACATGGGTGTCAGTTACTTTTCTCACGGCTGTGACAAAATACCTGACAAGCAACTGAAGGGAAAAAGATGTGAACAAAAGCTCCTAGAAAAAAAGTCTGCATCTTCAAGCCCTTCTGCAAGCCCCATCAGCCGATCAGAACGTCAATGACTGTGGACAGTTTGATCTATGTAGGTTCAGAGCCTAATTACAGTTTATCTTGGACTCTCTTAAGCCCCTTAAATAGCCATCCCTTGCCCACCTCGGTGCCCCATCTCCCCAGGGGTGTACATTTCATCGTGGTAATGTGTGAGGAACAGGTTACCTTCAGACACTTTTGAGTGCTTCCACTTTGTAGTCCTTGTGTGAGATTTTCTGGGCCTTGCTCCCCATCCTACTCTCCTGTCTCAGAAGTGCTCAGTGTTGAGACTCAGCAAGGAGCTCAGCTGGTTAGAGTCAGCGAGCAAAACCGAAGCTGCTGAAGAGAAGATAGTAGAAGCAGTCACAGGCTAGATCACCCAGAGTGTCACAGGGCCTTTGCTGATGAGTGGATTTTTCCTAAAAGTCATGGAAATTCTCTAGAATCATTGGATAGGGCTGTGGCAAAAACGGGCCATGCACTATGAAGCTGTGTACCCTTTTGATTCTTGTAAATTACAGAGTCTGGTATCTCTTCTGTCCTGTTTTTATGATATCTTTTTGTTGTTTTTTATTATGTTTGTTTTTTTCTGAGATAAGATATCTTTTAGCCAAAGCTACTCTGAAACTCCTGACCGTTTGGCCTCCATCTCTTCAGTGTTGGGATTACAGACATGCACTGCCATGCCCATTGTGCTGTATTTGTGAAACGAAGGATCTTAAAGGTTGTGGATTTTGCCAGGGAAGTTTGGGAAAGGGAAGAATAGAAGAAGTCTTCAGTCTGGAGTGTGGTTCGTTCCCTTCCTTCCTTCCTTCCTTCCTTCCTTCCTTCCTTCCTTCCTTCCCTTCTTTCTTGGAAGAAATACATGTCTTTAATCAAGGTATAGAGACTCAGCCATATTATAAGTATTTATTAAGTCCAACCAAGTACTTACCTTTCCTATAGGACTGAAAAATAATTTCACTCCATCTCCGAAGTCTGAAACTAATCCAAAATTCTTTATCTGTAAAGTAGGGTTAGTATCTAAGTAAATTATTAGTTCACATATATCTTTTTTGTGTCATTCCATTTTGTGGTTAGTTCTCAACCCAGCTCCAACATCTTTGAAAGACCCTCGTTCTCAAGGAGAATGTGTGGCAGAGCTTTAGAGACAGGCCCTAAGACAAATGGAAAACAACCCATGTAGATATCTTCCCCTCCTAGGGTAACACTATCTGTTCCCAGACCAGCACCAGGCAGCAGGAATAGAAAAGACTCAAGTGTGGTCCATTCGCTTTCAAGCACACAAACATGCTTAGGACAAAAGACTGATTTTATTTAGTAGAGTTTACCTATTGCTGACAGAAAGATTCTGCTCACTTAGCTACCCTTAACCTTTCAATATGCAAATGGACTTATGCAAAAAGAGCAAGCATTTCTTCCTCCCACCCCTGCCCTGGTTATATTACAAAGCATTCCTGAGATGACTGACAATGAAGAGGGCTACGGCCAAATTATTAATTTTTCCCTTTGTGGACTGACTTTCTCTTGTGTAAGAAAAGATAACTGATGGTATTTCCTGATTACATACTTGCCTCTCCAGGACCGAAAAAGAATGTTGCTCCCTGGTTTCAATAACAGTTTCAAAAGGAAAGCTTCTGGTGATCCTAGCTGGATCCTACGCTCAACCTTGGTTCAGTCACTGAGACTATAGGAATGGATGAGTCACTCTGACAGGCCATGTTGACGGGTGCTGAACCCAGCCTCAGGGTGAAGTGCTATGTCCACCTTCCTCTGCACTCTTTTCTCATTCTACTGCACTGTTTGTTTGTTTGTTTGTTTGGCCATAACATTTCCTTCTGTAGCCCAGCCTGGCCTGGAACTTGTAATCCTCCTGCATCCAGCTCCCAATTGCTCGGGTTACAGGCTTGTACCACACAAACAGCTCTTGCTCCACTCTAATTCAAAGTTTACCCTCTAGAAGTAGAGCAGGGTAGTACAGAGCAAGTAAAGGGAGATTGCACAAAAAACCCTGACCGGGTTCACCATCCCCACTGTCGGGCCTTATAGGAGTGTTGTTAGACCCTGTTTCAAAACACACCCTGGAACATACCATCCCCAACGAAAAAGCGATTCTTGTTCTGCAAACAAGCCCTTCCACCAAAGGAAACTCAGTCCTTTACAAATGTCCCTACCCCACCCCCCATGACTCTGTTTCTGCATAGAAACACACTTAAGCTCCCCTGCCTTTTGACCAGCATAGCTCCTGTTCCAGGATCCCAGTCAGCTAACCACCCTTATTGACTATAATAAAGGTCAATCTGGATTGTTGAGGTTGCGTGCTTTCTTTTTCTACCTGTGACTTCTATCCTAACAGTATGGATGTATGAAGTTCACAGATCTAGGTTTGTATAAGCTTGGCTAATATTGTCTAAAACTTCAGTAAGTTTCTTAAAAGGATAACTAATGAAACCAAAGGAAATAAAACCAGTGAAATACATGATAGGGTCAAGTATGGGATTTTAAGTGGCTGATAGATAACCCTCCTCTTCTTTCCTTTCTACAATTTTGTTTAAGCAGAGAGATACTCGGAAATCAAGAAAACAGAAATATCTTTTAAAGTAGTGAGATCACATTTGCCTGCTCAGATTTCTGCAGTTTTCCCATCCCACATATAGGAAAAGCAAAGTCATCGTACGTCTGCTCTGCAGAAGTCACCTTCCCTAGCCCCCATGTGTCCTGCACGGCTCTTCCTCATCTGTGGTTTCCGTTTCCCTCTTGGCCACTTCCTCCAGTCACACTGGCTTCATTACTTTTCCTCAAACTTTCAGAAAACTACTTCGGATTCTTGGTCTTTCTCTTTTTCCACTAGTTTTCCCCACATATGGCCTGTTCCCCACTCAGGGAAGGAAATAGTATATATGTTCTCATTGAGCTAGTAGACAAGAGGGGAGATAGGCATTTAATGTATAAACAAACCCATGACGTAATTATGAAAGACAATCAGCTGTATGCTAGCAAATGTCTGCACTCTGAGGGGAAAAATGGGACGGAAGTAGTAAGTTCTGAATGGGAGACAAGGCAAGAGCTCTACAAGGAAGTATCCCTTAACATGGAAGTGGTATGCAAATGACACAGCCAAAAAGGACCGTCATGCCCAGGACCCTTTATCTAGCCTGCTAGAGATGGAGCAATACCGAAGTAACCTGAGCTCCAGGCAGGCAGGTGGTCAATGCCTGTGATGTTAGTCACGGTGCATCACTGACAGGTGGGAATTCAGGAGCAGAAATTCAGTGTAAGTAGAAACCAATTAAAATGAATTAGTCTAGTTGAATCAGAGCAGAACCAAGAACAAAGCAATCTCAGTGGTTGACTGAGAGCTAATCACTGGACCTTCTTACAACCACTACTCTAGAAGGAAATTATTCTTACCAGTCTTGCTTCCTGTAGAAAACCAAGGCCATGAGGCCTGTTTGTGTTTCAACAACATGGCATTGATATGAATTTCTGGCATGGGCCAAGATGGCCAATGCTAGACATCCAGAGGGCTAGGGGTCAACAAAAAATGACTGATGCTAGATATCCAGGGATCCCAAAAGAAACAGCGATGTTATATAACCACTTTTGGCAAAACTTGGGTTCCTGACCCTCCCGAAAGAATGTTTCTTCCTATCAGGAGGAATGTTTCTTCCTAGCAGCCTGTACTTTCCTATGTCTAGGATGAAGCTACAGGTGAACCCAACCTGTTGTATCTGCAGAGAAAAGTCTGCAGAGAAAAGTCTGATCTGGACTCCACCTGACACCAGATGCTTTCAACAATAAGATCTCCACAAAAGTAGGAACAGAACAAACAAATCACATCCTTGGGATAAATAGTTCTTAGAATAATTCTAGCCCCAAATGCTAATATGGCCTTGTAAGCTGAAGTCAAAATTTCACCTACATTAGTCTCCTATTTCTCACTCGGGTTACTCACTGAGGCATTGTTCTCTTGATCACCTTCTTGCCTCTACTGGAACATGACTATAATCTGGTCTCCTGTGAAATGTTAGGAATGTCCTTCACCCTGTCCTACACTCATGACACACATATCTTCATTTCAAGTATACATGCCTCTGGATTTTCAAACCAGATCAAGGGAAGCTTATTTTTTTCTTTAATTTCTTTGAATGTACTTGTGAATCATTCTTTTGAGTTCTCTTTCTGGGACTATATCTAATTCATTCTCACTGGATACCATTGCTGTAGAATTAGTAATTTTTTAAAAAAGATTTCTTTTTATTTTATGCATATGAATGTTTGTGTGTATGTATGTAAGTGTACCATGTATGTGATTAGTGCCCATAGAGGCCAGAATAGGTTTGGATCTTAGGAAACTGGAGTTACAGATGGCTATGAGCTGCCCTGTGGGTGGTAGGAACTGAACCTGGGTCATCTGTAAGAGTAACAAATGCTCTTACCCATGTCTGAGCCATCTCTCCAACCACTCAGATTAGTAAATTTTTGGATGAGTTACATTTACTTGGTTTTTCATATTTTTTGTATTCTACATTATGATTTACTCTGGGAAAATTTCATTGCTTGGATTTTTAATTGGCTTTATTTTCCACATTTATTTATTTTGTGATGGGGCACACACATGCTATGGTGCATGGGTAGAGATCAGAGGACCACTGGTGGGAATTGGTTCTCTCCTCCTACACTGCGAGTTCTAGGACTGAACTGAGTTCATCAGGTCTGGCAGCAAGCACCTTTACCATCTAAGCTATCTTCCTGGCCCTCGGTTACATTCTTCCAATTGAAAAATTTTTGATCTTCAAGTGGGACTTGGATGTGTTAGTGGAGGGGCATAGTTTAGAAAGCAGTTCTTCAGGCTAGGAGCTGAGGAGGTCTGGTACAGCCTCTGCATTTATTCCAAGTACACTAGCTGTGAGAGCAATCACAGCTTCTGGAGATTTCCCCTGCACGATTGTCTTACTAGATAATTAACAGTAGCTTCGCTTGACTCAATAACTGTTGGAGGATAAACAAGGAAGGATAGGCTGGTGTATATTCAGGTTTTACTTATCAAGATTAGTTATGTGTCCTAGTTTGCCTTCTGTTGCTGTGATAAACACCATGACCAAAACCAACTTGGAGAGAAAAGGGTTTATTTCATCTTACTCTTCCAAGTAGTAGTTCATCACTGAGGGAAGACAAGACAGGAGTTCATGGCAGGAACCTGGAGGCAGAAGCTGAAGAAAAGATCATGGACAAATGTTGCTTACAGGTTTGCTCCCCTGGCTTGTCCTCTGCCTGCTTTCTTATACAACTCGGGCCCCTACCTAGGGGTGGCACTGCCCACAGTAGACTGGGCCCTCCCACATCACTCAACAATCAAGAAAATGATTCAAAGACATGACCACAGGCCAATTTCATAGAGACAATTCGCCAACTGAGGTTCCCTCTTCACAAGTTTGCCAAGTCAAACCTGAAGTTATCCAGCACAGCATGGGAGTGAAGAAGGGTGGATGAGGCTAGGGATAAATATTATATCATCTTTGAATGGGAAAAAGCTTAAAATGGGAAAAACATTAATAGCTGGGAGGAGATAGTTGGGATACTGTTAGGATCCACAGATTCTAGAAATTGTTAAAGCTATGGAGAAAAAATTAAGAAGTAGAAAGAGAAAGAAAGGAGGAAGGGCAGGAGAGATGGCTCAGGAGTTGCTTTTCCAGAAGACCCGAGTTCAGTTTCCAGCACCCATGTCAGGAGGCTCACAATTACCTGTACCTCCAGTTCTAAGGGATCAAATACTCTCTTCTGGCCTCTGTGGGCACCCACATACATGTGGAATGTATGCACACACATAAATAAAAGTTAAAAATAGGATGGGATAGGGATGAGAGAAAGAAGAAAAGACAGGACTAAGAGGGGAAGTGTATGAAATGTGGGTGGGAGTCGAGTAGAAAATGAGTGCTAGTGTGTAATATCTTCAGCAATAGGGTCTTACCATATAGGCATGCCATCAAAGCAAGAGCGATGGCAATAGCCTGTGTTGTTTGGGGAACATTTAAGGCCTCTCTGGCCAGTAAGGTAAATGTGTCAGGAAGTGAGGCCTTTAAAAGGTGATTAAAGCAGGACATGGCGGCTCATGCCTGAAATCCCAACATTTAAGATAGGTTATAAGATTAGTGACTTTTCTCATTACTCTGATGAAATAACCTGACAAAAGAAACTTAAGAAAGGAAGAATTTATTTTGCCTCAGAGTTTGAGGATGCAATCCACTATGGTGGGCGAGTCA